GGTTGTGGGTCTGGGGTGGAGTCGCACAACTGAACATCCTGCCGACCTCAATTATATACGGCTTGCATACACCAAGTATTAGTGGTTAAAGCCAAGTATGAGCTCTACCACGAACCTCATAGTAGAACCCTTCATCCTATTCCATAGAATAGGAGCTAGAGACAAGAGAACCATGGCGGGTTGAGCTACTATAATGACCACAAATTCGAAATTGTTGTCATCCCGGTTAAGACAACATAGTAGCTAACACCCTCGGTTGGTGAAGAAATCTGAGTCGTAAGAGTCAAGGACATTGACTACGACCATCCACTCACACTTAATCCCCCGAATTAAGCATCTCAGTGGATATCCTGGAAATCCAGAAGCTGCGATATGTTAAACCTTGAGAAGGGTGGATGAAGAGATTAGACATTCCGAGTGACGGAACCCTATACTTCTAAGACTTAACCCAAAACAAGAAAACTCAGAACCACTGGAAGAGTAGTTGTAGAAGATGCTCGCACTACTCAGGAATTTCGTCCTCCCCGTTACTGACGAGTAGTGCCTAAGACACTCCGCCTCCCCCTCATGTGGAAAAAGTCACCTTCGCCCTGTAGACGATAGACTGCATTCTCCGAAGTGAACACTAGAATGCCAAGAGACACAGGATAACCTCCGCAACCAAGAATACTTGGATAAAGTGCAAAAGTAGGTTGCGTTAAGCCTTATAGCCCAGATCTCGAAGAGATTATAGACTTGACACCAGTCTAGGTGTTAGTCGGTGGGTTATACAAGAGCACGCGCTTTCTGCAACTGAAATAAACCAACGCCTTAGAGAATAGGACATGTCTTAGAGATTCATTGGACTACTAGGTGTTCCACGAATACTATCTAGCGCAGAAATAGTAGAACTACCTCCCGAGATAGTCCAACACTTTAGAAAATCTCTAAGGATTGAGTTAGCCCTAAGCAGAGCCTGTTATTCATGAAACAACAAGGCAAGTAAGAGCATGATCCTTTCCCGATAAGAATCATGCCGTGAAAGCGCCAACTAGACGATGATGGGAAGTTTAAAAACTTTCTAAGCACTCGTCTGGTGAAACCCTATCTCCCCGACCCTGAGAATTTCCGTTAGAAACGTCTCAAGAATCAGAAGTGCAGGTTCATTTTGCACAAGATCGAGATAGACACTCTGCAGCAAATAGATACCCGTAGACATCCGATCCATCCGATGATCTAGAAAACCTCTAAAATCCAATTGATAGGAAACACGAATCCAAGGACAACCCGAGCTTTCTAAGAACCAACCTGAAGGACTACACTCCCAGTAGGAAAGAACGTTTGGAACTTTGGAATGTCGATCACGCCAGTGATGATCTCGCCATAGAAGTACCCTATGTTCTAAGTACTTAAAAGCTCTACCCTTCCGAGAGCATAGGACCATCCGAGATTCCTCACAAAAATTGATCCAACCCTCGTCAGACCACTATTACTTTCGGAAATTCCACAAGTTCCCACTCATCTTGATAGAAACCATTGACAACCCTAACTTCATAGACGCATCTGTTGGAATCACTAACTGATCAAATCAGAATCCGCATCCCATAAGTGAAGGTTGTTAGAACGCCAAGCATAGGCCAGAGTTTACTAGGGAGTGCGAGGACCAACCAAATAGGAAATACCCTCATACCTCTACCCGATTGTCCATGATTACTTCCTTGCCTAAACCTGAATTTCGGGACGAAATTCCCTCTAACGGGGGAATGATGTGACAACTCGAAGTTTATTCCGTCATTTTTAACCCCTCCTTCCGTTATTAAGCCTCGCTTTATTAAACTGTCCATTAACATTTTGGATTGGTTAATTAATTTGGGACTTTTATAATTACTTAGTTAGGGTTGGAACAAATTAGAAACACCCTCATAAATCCCTTGAAAAGTTTTAGTTTCAACCAAGTCAAAATACGACCATTTAATCGGGTGCGACCAAAATCCCCGTTTAACGTCAGTATTGGGTAGATTTCCACTGAGCCCCAACTCAAACACCTATATAAGGGTGAATGGAGTCCATTTGAGACTTTCCACTCTCTCTACAACTTGTTTTCGATCCACAAACGCCCAATCGGAGCCCCAAACTAGTAAGTAATCTATCCTAACTTGTTATGTAGCTTAGTTAACATGCAAATTCGTGTTTAAGACATCAAATAGGGGCAAATTCATGTATTTACGGCCCGAGAACACTCTTGGACCGTGAACGCCCTTAAGTGGGGTTTTGAAGCCCCAAAACCCCTCTAAACTACCCCTAGGGCTTAGATATGACTTGTGGACTTACACTTTCGAGCTTAGAACACCAAAACCTTGAATTTTGGAGAGTAAACATGAGTTTACGGCCCAAGAACACTCTTGGACCGTAAACCCCTCTTCATAGGCCGTGAACACCCTTTAAGGTGTTAGAATTACCCTAAAACACCTCCTATGGCCTGGGAAAATGTCTAGAATCAACCACAATTGATATAGGGGCTTTAAACATTAAAGAAACATTGGACATAGGAGTTTACGGCTGTAACCCCCCCCCCCCCCCCCCCGCAAGAATTGGTCCATGGGCCGTAAACTCCCCTAAATAGGCCAAATGATGCCCTAACTCCCCTATATGGCTTGGAAAAATGCATAGAACTTTATTCTCTACCATTTAAGAACTTAATACACCAAAGGAATGAGCATATAAGAGCTTACGACCGTAAACTCCTTAAATGGTCCATTTGGAGCCTTCAACCCCTTCATATGCCTTATATTTTGACCCACCCTAATTCTATGAGTGATATAAGACCTTGAAGCATCCTAGAACACACCACCCATGAGTTTACGGGCGTAAACTCATGGGGATATGGTCTTAGGGTCGTAAACTCTATAAAGAGTTTACTCTCGAAGAGTAAACTCCCTAACTAGGCCATACAAACCCTTAGATACTACCCGAGACACCCCTAGCACTTAACCAAAGTGTTTTCCGCACTTTAGGATGCGTATACGTGTTTAATTAGTATTATATTTACGAATTGTATGTAAACATATGTTAATAGGTCACTAAGTGTGTTCAAGTCTTTACTTGACACCGAGCACCCAACCGGCACTTTCGTTCGATCCACTTACAATAGGTGAGTTCATAACCCTAAATTAACCTTTTAAATGTTTTTACATGCTTTTATGGGGGGGGGGGAATACAAGTTAAAACATGCCAGTTATCATATCAATCATATGTGATTAATAACCTGCATGCACAAGGATTTATCACACTTTCAGTTGTTTTACCAAGTATAATACCAAAGATGGTTTTCCAAAACGTTTTTACTTGTTTAAATCTTTTCTCAAATTATCTCTCGTGTTGTATGTTTTACTTCTAAACCAGTTACAACAGTGTTTTAAACAAAGGTTTTCTTTACTTATATTGTGTTATCAAATTTTATTCAAAACATGTTTATGAACAGTTTTCAAAGCTTGTTTTTTACATAAGTATATCAAGTCGTAAATTCTTATTTTTAAAGGTTTTCCCAAAGGTTTTTACCAAAGTTTTCTTCTATACTTCTATACTTCTATTTCGTTAAATGCATGTCTGTACTTGTATAGTTATATAAATAATGTTTAAAAGACTTAGGAAGGCTAGTTCGCCCTATTTCCTTTTCCTCGTTGGGATGTGGTCTGGTGGGTATTGGATATCCGTCCGAAGGTCGTTTAAACATTAATTATATATCATGTATACACGTATAGACATAAAGTTTTACGTCGACCAGTTCATTTCCCTTGGGTAGCAAGGGCATACTTCCATTCATCATTCATAGATCAGAGACACTAGTAACTATTATAGGAATAGTTAAGAGCCTCTATTTACTCTTTCTAGTACGAGAATTCCACAGGAGTCACCTCATACGCGAGTCTATATCATTTCTCCAGCGCCTCTAATAGAATTCAGATTACGAGATGCATCTTCAAGACACAGATCTCCCCGTCGTCGAGTTGGTAACCAGAGTCTCCTGCAGGGAGAGCAGGCATTGTGTGTATAGATCTATACGGGACTGACACCCCCGCACCCTGACTGCTAGCTACAGTCTACGGCCTACCAAGCTAAGGGGTGACAAATGTCATATTTATTCCGAAGCTTGCAGGGCGTCAAGTACTCTAGTGTCAATCAGTATGGTTATTAGTATCTCCATGTTTACCTTATAATTCATGGCCTTAAGATAACGAGAATCTAACACTGTATTCTTGAAACAACCCACTTAGGATTTTCCCTTTGTTTTAGACCTTGCTAGCTGTATCTTTCATTTGATACTGTCTGGGGTCTGTGTTTCTTGGTTTTAGACCTTGCTAGCTGTATCTTTCATTTGATACCGTCTAGGGTCTGTGTTTCCTTTTGTTAGACTGAGCCAGGCGTATCATTCATTCGATACTCTCCTGGAGTCTATGATTTCTTCTGCCTTAGTCAGCAGTATTTCTGCTGAGGCATATGTTATTTTCCCCTAATATTTTTACTGGTGATATTCTTCTACTTTCTTTAAAGTCAAATACTGCATTTTGGTAGTGATAGGGTTTAATGGAAAATTACTCTTTAAAACATAACTCTGTCGAGTCTTGGTAGAAGACTGCTTTTATTTAGAAAATATAGGATTTTTTGGAAAGAACGCTAATACACCATAGATTCTAAACTACTACTTTTATAAAGTTATTTTGAATAAAATGCTTACTTACACAAATGACACTATATATTTATGAACTCACCAGCATTTTTAAAAATGCTGATACTCGCTTTCAAAATAACTTGTATTCTCAGCACTACTAGAAAAACAACCTTTTACGACGCGCAAAACACGACGCTCTTTGATTTATGTTACGCATTAGAGAGCGACATTAAAAAAGTATCATCTCTTCAAAAATTTTAAGGATTTAGGTCGCGCATTACTGAGTGCCCTTAAATTAGTGTCTCATGTAAAAATATTAAAAACACGGAAGGCACTTGTGCGTCGTCTGTGAATGTCGTTTTATATTTTTTTTAAGAAACGCGCGTGTCGGAGGGAAAATGAAATCCCCAAATTTTTTAAACCCCCACCTTCTTCTCCCTCGTCTCCACCCCTCATCCACATCCACTACCTCCAATCCTCATTTCCTCTTCTAGCCTCAAACTACGGCGATGCACCTTCCTTCTCGAATAATGCTTCATTTACCACCATCGTCCGATTATGTGAGCCCAAGGAATTGACGGAGACGAAGAAGATTATGGATCAATTGCTTCACATCATGTTTAAGGTTAAGGGTTTGAGATTTCTTCCAAATCGACCCTCACACCAAATGGTTCGATCTCCTCTCTTTTTACCTTGTTCCTTCTACTGATGCCTCCACCTTCTACCATCGACGTTGGTCTTTGAATTAGCAACAAGAAGCCCTAGAGCCTCCACCTTCACCCACCTCCAGCGCCTCCAACAAGAAGCCCTAGGTCCCCCGCCTTCACCCACGTTCTCACATGTTAAAGACTCGCCATCCCAAAATTGGAAAAACTAGGGCTTTTGTGCTTTGGATCTCACAAGAAACAAGTTTTCCTCGTCCCCACCTCGCCCATCCAAATTCCTTCTTCTTCAAATGATTAAATGTTCTTACCTCTCAACCGTACTTGAATCAATATCTCTGTCTCTGTTGTGTCTATTCTCTCAATATCTCTCGCGCTTTTCTATTTACAACCAGAGTTTGAGAGCGAAAAGAAAAAAAGAAGAAAGAAAAGATGTGCCTATTCTTCCTCTTTCTTCCGCTGGTTCGATTACAACCCTTTTACTCCCTTCTTATTATTTTTTTTTTGGATTTGCAGGTGATTGTTTCACTGGAAATCCAACTTTTTTTCCCTAACCTTATAGTCCCTCAGTGCAAGCTTGGTAGATTGAAGAATTGGCTCAACTTGCGGATTCGATGCGGCAGGCTGTGGCTTTGCTTAACGATGAAGATGTTGATGCAAATTCATCGTCTTCTTCAAAACTCCCTTCCACATTTCTTAATTTTTTTGCTCTTGGAAATACCATAAGTTTGTCTTACATGAGCTCTTTTGATCCGACTACTTGCTTTTGTGTTGATTGACTAAGTCAGTGGATCTCTCGATATGTTTTTGTTGCAATCCCTATTTTTGATGGATCTTTTTCTAAATGTAGTTGGGAACTATTTTTGCTTAGATTCCAATTTAGCATATAGGTGATTCAAAACTATTGCTTGCAGCAGAAACTCATCTACTGTTGCTTAATGCCATATGTCGAAGTATTAATTTGCAATATGCTTTCTACTAGATCAGGCTCCACTCATCAACTGCCAGGGGTCTACTGTTTAGCTAATCATGGAGTCAATCTGATCTTGCTAGCCTACCCTTTTTCTTTTTCAGGTTTACCAATTTATGGATCTTAAATAGTTCATTTCTAATTATGGGCTTCCAATTGTTCAGAGTGCAGGTAAATCAGCAGTTTTTAATAGTTTGATTGGGCATCTTGCTCTGGTACGACCTTCATTTTTCTTTATTTTCATATTCAATATGGACATATATATTCACTTTATGTTTTTTCTAATTCATTATGATAACAAAACAAGTCATTTCAATTTTCAAATTAACTTGAGCAGCCAACTGGTGAAGGTGGTGCAACTCGCGCGCCTATATGTATTGAATTAAAGAGGGATGGTAACTTAAGCAACAAATCAATTGTACTGCAGATTGAAAGAAAATCCCAACCTGTGTCTGCAAGTGAGTCCTCATGTCATACTTAAGGGCTTAAGCCAATTTGACACACACATACACACACATTTAGTAATAGGGTTCTATATATATACATATATATATATATATATATATATATATGTGTGTGTGTGTGTGTATGTGTGTGTGATTATTGAATCTGAATGCTCTTTTTGTCCACCAACAGGTGCTCTTCGGCACTCATTACAGTATAGGCTTAGTAAAGTTTCAAGCAAGAGTCAGGATGAAATATTTTTGAAGCTTAAAACAAGTTTGGGTGAGTCTGTTTGCTTAAAAATATCAAGAATTTGACAAATGCATCATAGTAATTCGGTTTCTTTTTATACCACTTAAGCTTGATTGTTTGTTTGCTTCATTTTTTTTAAAAAACAATTCTATGTTTTTGACATATTCGAGATACAATTTAATTCCTTGTTTGATGTATTTCACCATTCCTAGGGGAGGGTGAAGGAATTCAATTCCATGGTATGCTACGTGTTGTGCAACAATCATTACTAGGGTCAATTTTGGCAAACATGTTGCTTGTTCTTGGATGCACGTTTTTCTGTGGAGGAATCTTTCTTCCTAAAAAGGAACAGGTTTTTGACAAGGTAAGTTAATTACTAAAATGAGGTCAAAGTTTCTTGAATCCTTTCAACATACTTGGATTTTTGATGAATATCGATTTGTTTGCAGCCAAATGTTGTGATGAGCTCAGGGTTGCTATTAATGGCAGTGATGGGTCTGTTATTCCCTGTTATTCTTCACTTCACAGACACTGAATTGCGTTTTGGAAAGTCAGAATTGGCCCTTTCAAGATTTAGCAGTTGTGTAATGCTTATTACATATGGGGCCTACTTGTTTCTTCAGTTGACTACACAGAAGAATTCGTATTCACCAATCACTGAGGTTGGTGATTGGCATTTATACACCCTCTTTTTAGAAAAAAGCGTATACTAGTAATAAAACGAAGCGAAATATTCAGCAAAGTCCCTATATTATGGGCTCATTAACATTATAGTAAGAAATATCATATGTCAGAAAAAGAGAAAGATTACGTTAAGACTATATGCTATTTATTAGAAAGAGAGAATACATTAAGATAATATGAGTATCATGTAAGATGTCAGACAGAAATAGTAAGATAATATCAAGTCTCACAAAAAGAGAATACGATATGATTAAAGTAAGATAATAATCTGTCATTTTATGTTAAAGTTAAATAAATGACTTTAAGTTTCGTTTATTTAAATCTATATAAACACATTAGTTTTCTAATATTGATTTAGAAATATCAGGAAGATAGCCCAAAAGAAGACAATTCAGATGATGATGATGAAGAATCTCCTGATATTTCAAAGTATGAATGTGTTATCTGGATCAGCATCTTGACACTCTTCATTTCCATTCTTTCAGAATATCTAGTCAACTCCATTGAGGTATCAGAATAATTATCTTAAACTAATAATCAATGAACCTATTTTCTAAAATATAGACATGATTTCCATTTATAGGGTGCTTCTGTTGCAATGAATATCCTTATAGCATTTATCAGTGTCATCCTTCTTCCTATTGTTGGAAATGCAGCAGAAAATGCAAGTGCCATCATGTTTGTCATGAAAGACAAGCTTGTAAGTTATTAGTCATTACAAGAATCATAATTCATTTTATTTAGTTTTTTAAATATTTTTAGTTACAATCTTTGCAGGATATCTCTTTAGGAGTCGCGATTGGCTCCTCAACACAAATATCTATGTTTGTTGTACGTGTTTTTTTCTCTGTATATTAAAAGAAAGGTTAATTTAAAGAAATAGCAACATAATTTAAACAAATACTAACTTTTATTTTAAATTTTTTGTGTTTGTAACTGCAGATTCCATTTTGTGTGGTTGTTGGGTGGATCATGGGGCGTCCTTTGGACCTAAATTTTCAACTTTTTGAGACAACAACTCTTATTATGACAGTTCTAGTAGTGGCTTTCATGTTGCAAGTAAGCCTTATATTCATATATTTTTACAAAAATTTGACTAAATTAAAATTTTCATTTAAAAATGGTTCTTTTATATATTTGTAGGATGGAACATCCAATTACTTCAAGGGAGTAATGCTTGTGTTTTGCTATTTGATAGTTGCTGCAAGTTTCTTTGTATATATAGACCCTCTATCTATACGTAAGTTATAGCCATTGTTTTCTTTCATTTGACTTTTGACTAGACCTTTTTTCTTCTACATTGTTTATGGAACTGACTTTTGTCTCTGGTTTTGTAGAAGATAAACCTTAAAGCTTTGAATCCGTCATAAAGAGTTTCAAGTCAATTGTATGTTCTAGTTTGACTTTCCTTGATGGCATATAGTTATTATTATTGCATACTATTACTACCTTAACCGAGATGAATGGATTGCAGTGTTGCCTAGGGCTTTAGTGGCAGGATTTGTGAAAACAGATAAATATTTCCTTTTTGCTTTCGGTGATTTTATATTGAATGCATGTAGTATCACAGAGTTATAAGCAACTAGTTGGTTTGATTCCTTACTTATGGATTGTTATGAATTCAGTTCAATCATCAGGAACAACTATTACATTTGTAATTGTTGAAGGATCAGTTATAACCGTAGCTTCTGTTGGTGATTCACGTTGCATACTTGAGTATGAAGAAGGAGGCTTATATTATCTATAAGCAGATCACAGACTTGAATGCAGTGAAGAAGAATAACTTATCAGATCTTATATTATGCTTTCTTTTTTTAGTCCTATTTCAGTATCTGATGATTTATATATTTTTTGTTTATTTTTGTAGGAGAGAGCGTGTCCCTGCTAGTGGTGGTGAAGTCGGCCGGCTTAATGTCGGTGGTGGTGCACAGGTATGATATGGCTCTTTTAATCACATCACATATTTAATATTATTGAAAAATGGGTTTATTTATATTTTATATTTAAAGAAAAATATACTTGTTTAAACTTATTTTTTGGTAGATTGGTCCTTTGAGATGTTGGCCTCGTGGCTTGTGTTTGTCAATATCAATTGGAGATCTGGATGTTGGGGAATTCATTGTTCCCGTTCCTTATGTTAAACGAGTTAATGTCAGTTGTATTTTTGAAGGAATGGAATCCATCAAGAGAATTGGAATTGGAATTGGAATCAAATCTGAAGGACATGCTTGGAATATTTACAAACAAAAAAATTTAATACCAAGAAATCTATAATAAAAAATCTATTTTTCTTACTTTTGAAAAATAAAAAAGAAATAATATAATTTGTATGACATTAACTTTTGTGCAATGTATTGTATTTTTTGTATATGGTATTTTATTTTCTATTATGAGACATGAAATGCAAATTTAATTTGAAAATCAGTAAATCTATAAATAATTTAAAAAAAAAAATTAAAATTACGATACGCAAAAATGTGTGTCGTCTTCATTTATGACATGGCCTTTCTTGACAGGGGCATCTTTGATACACATTGCGTGTCATAAACACGCGCGTCGTAAGGTTACGACACGCAAATGCGTGACGTGTTCCTTTATGACATGGCCTTCCTTGATACGCATTGCGTGTCATAGCCGCGCGTCGTAAATGCGCGTCATAAATGAGCGTCGTAAATGCGCGTCGTCTCTCTTTATGACAGGGCCTTCCTTGACGCGCATTTGCGCGTCATCTGAGCATTTTACGATGCGCAATGAGCGTCGTAAAAGGCTGTTTTTCTAGTAGTGCAGGTCAGCAATAGACAGGTACATCCCGGGAGCTTTTGTGAAGCCAGCCTAGAACCGAGCCGCATCTATATTATTACTTGTATTACTTTGATGTTGCTATGAGATGTAACTTATGTAAAACTATTACTATTAATGCAATGGTTTTTGTATTTTGATTATTATACTGCATATGTTGTGATACTTGACATGACATCATCCACCCCAGAACGTTTCCGCCCTTCCGGTTTTGGGGTGTGACACACTTCACACAATTGGCCTTAGTTGGTCTTCGTTTTATCCAAAACATCACAACTTACCAATTTCAAATGTATAAAATTAAGAAACCTTTTATTCTACATTTGACAAGTGTTTTAAACATTTCTTAAGATTATGTCACTTAAGGCTTGATCTTGGAGTATGACTCTAAGACTTATTTTTGGAACGAAGTATGATTCGCCTTTTGATTTAACCATTTCAACAATTCAAGATTCCTCTTCTTAGCTATACAAATGCACTAAGATGTCCTTAGAGGATCAATTGTGATATGGTTTCATAATCACTAAGATAATCATAAAACACTAAGAGAATCATAAAACACGATACTAAAGTACTCTCCCATCTTTTCAGATTGGCGAAACTTTTTATCTTTCTTTCTAATTTGATTCTTCTTGTTCGTTCTGCTACACATTGAAACTTTTTCAATGATTCAGAATTATACTTAATCTTGTAAGTATAACCATATTCACTAAACTTTAGTAAATCATAATGAATAGTTTTAACGTTCTTTGTGGTGGACCTTATCAGCGCACAACCAAGTGTACACAATCCCCTAGTCCTTCACTTGACTCACATATACATATGAAAAAGGAATTAGTCTTAATTTCCCAAAGATGAAAATTCTCATTCATCATACAATACTAGTTACATGATTCCAAGTTTCTATCCAACTGAAACTTAGGTGATGAGAATCTTTTCTTATTTGGTAAATTATGACACTACCACAAACGAAAAAACCAAATCCATTTTTCAATATTACTATCAATGGAAACATATAAACATTAGTTTTCACAAATGCTATTGTAAGGATACTTAAAATAAAATAAAATCAAAATATTCTTTTATTTAAAAATTGCGGAAAAAACTTATCATTACGATGCAAATACATATGAAAACTATGTTGTTATCTATTCCTAAGCAATCTATCATAACTCTTAAGCATCAGCTCAAAATTCTGATAATCGAACTATGCGATCGAAATCGATCTTCACATGATCAGAATCAGCTTACTCTTCCTTTAAGCTTCCTTTGATTCTCCAAAACATCAAAATGTAATTACATTACATCATGTATAAAGAATCTCCAAACACGAACTTAATAGAGTTAGATAGTGGACTTTACCTGAAGTAGAGTCAAACATTTTGACTTTACCATCTCTTAGATCTCTCAGGTAGTCAGGACAGCTTTGCTTCCAATGTACCTTTAATTGGCAATTAGAAAAAAATGATTTTTTTTTTCACATTGACACATGGGACAATACCAGAGCTGACCTTTCTCTTAAGTTCAAACTTTTTGACTTTAGCTAATTTCTCTCCCCAGGAGAAGAAATCATTTCTGGAATGTCACTATTGTCAATGGAACTTAGGAAATAGATCTTCCAATAAAATTTGCTTTACCAGTGCTCCAAATCATTACTGATTTAGCAGCAACAAGCAAATAGGTAAGATCGATAAGGGTGATGTCGTGATCTGTCATCATGGAGTGACTGAAGAACCAAGTCAATGACCAACTGACCTTTCTCTTAAGTTCAAACTTTTTGACTTTAGCCAATTTATCTCCCTAGGAGAAGAAATCATTTATGGAATGTCACTATTGTCCATGGAAACATAGGAAATAGATCTTCCAATCAAGTTTGCTTTACCAGTGCTCCAAATCATTGTTGATTTAGCAGCAACAAGCAAATAGGTAAGATCGATAAGGGTCATGTCATGATCTGTCATCAGGGAGTGATTGAAGAACCAAGTTAACGACCAACTTCCTCGAGACTTCGATATCCAACTCTCCTAACTTGTAAATATGTAACTTAATCTCCAAGACGTGAGCACATATAACCTTTGCTTGCCAATAGGGATTGTGTGACCTTGAAATTTTCAAGTCTTTGAACTTGTGGGTTAAGGATAATTATTGGAGGAGGTGGAGGAAGTGAAGTATGATTTCCAGTCCCATTAATGCATGATGAAGGGATTAATCTTTCACCTTGATCGCCATGTAGGATATCATCTTTATTAGGAAGGTATTTTCCAAAAGGATAAGGAATACCATAATTGTCTGAACTAGACATCTATGAGGTATAAATTCAATTTTAGTTGACTTAAGTCCTTAATATAACACCCAATATGAAATATTAAGGCTAGGATCCAACACAATATTTTATATCTTGGAAGAGGGATGTCGTAATCCAAGCTACAAAATATTTGAAGGTAGTTAAATGACGATTTACGAATTTCCACCATGAAAAACGAAAATGAACTTTAGGTTTTAAATGATTTGAAACTTCTAGATATTTTGAGATTCATTGAACTTTTCAATGGAATGTTTAAATCTCGATTATGCCCTTCAAGTTTGTGACTGGGATGCCGAGGATCACAAACAAGGAGTGGATAACCATGCAAATTAGCTTGGTACACCAAATGTTACAACCACTTAATCAATGTGCCGACTAACCACACATGCTCCATTGATTTATGATTAACATCAAGCTACCCTTTGTCACACATTGTCACTCCCCAGATTAGTGTGTCGGTTAACCACACACGCTCCACTAATGACTTAACAAGGTGTAAAGTGCAATTTCATGGGTTAACACCAACTTCACATTTTTCTTAAAGTAACTAAGATTGAGAATATAATAAAAGTTTAGTTACTTTATATTTATCATTATACTTTTAATGAAGGGAGAATTTAGAGTCCTATCTTACCCGTTCGGCTAACGACCCTCCACTAGTTAAGGAAGCGGTGGGTGAGAATGGACACCCATTAAACTGCCATTTTATAGGTAGTAACCTTATACCCCCTTGTAAACTGGCTTCGTGAATGAGGCATACTAACGGTAAGACTGATTTTGTTCTTATACATATTTATAAGTATTAAATTTTAATATCATAATAGTATAAGGGTGTATTTTAAACTTTTAAATTACTTGGTGGTTTAATCTATTAATTAAACTATACTCATAATTTAATTAAATTTAAACCATGTCACTATGGATTTATTAATCTCTTTTAATTAAACAATTTAATTAATTTAATAAAGTCCATAAAGTTTGAATTTTAACTTTTAAAATTCTAGGGTTTGGAGTTAAAGTATTCTTAAGAGAGACTTTACAAATTCCAAAATTTGAGGGCAAGTTTTGAACTTTTCAAAATCTTTTCATTTCCATAACTTATGAGTTTAATGTGGTTTTTATGAAAAACTTTTCAAGTTCCATAACTTGAGGACATGTTATGGAAGACATCAAAACCATTAAAAAGAATGAGACTCTTCCTTTATAACCTATGAGTTTTTTTTTAATGAGTTTTAAAATGAAAACTTTTCATTTTCCATAACTTGAGGACAAGTTATGGAGTCCATTAAAACAATTAGATCATAATTTTAACTAACAAAAAATTATCAAATAATTTATTCATGATCTTCTTAAACTCATTAGTCAAGATAAATTCATATCAGTATTTACAAGAAAATTAGCCTATCATATAAACTAACACAAATTATTGAAACTATGACAATTATCTTTTAATTGGATTAGCATAATCATTACCATAGCACCAAAATCAAATTTTATAACCAAAAATATTTTGTGGTAATGATCCTAATCCAAAATAGGACAAAAAACATGAAAATCAACTGACATGGGCACCAACTCGTCGAGTTTGATATTGGACTCGTCGAGTTGATTGAATTTCTTCATGAACTCGTCGAGCTCATGTATGGACTCGATGAATTCTGCTGTCAGACTGCAGAAAATTCGATTTTACAACTTTGAAAACTTATAAAACATCAAGTATAATAGAAAACAACCCATGGCTCTGATACCACTGTTGGGTTTTGTATACCACAACATCCTATGGTGCACATACAACTCTAAAAGCTTTGGATCTATGTTTTCTATAATTATACATGTAATATTATGTCCAAAGCTTTAAGCCTACAACTAGAATACAAACGATATAAACAACATAAAATAGTAGTTAGGAGATTACCTTTTTATGTAGCTTGTAGAACTTATTGCATTTGGCCTTTAAGAGCTTAGCACCAATAGTATGAAATGCCTCAAATGGAATCACAACACATCTAGGACAATGGATGAAATTTGAGAGATAATTCATACACCAAAAACGCCTCATGGAAACTCCAAGAATAACTAGTTGTGATTTTGGCTATGGAGTAACATATTTATATGTGGGATTCCAAAGGTCATGGTTCATGTGGCCCAACTCTTAGTCCAACATGGATCA